TGCTAACGTTACCTCCCCCCTTTCTGTCTTCAGTTTATACATACCAGGGAACTTCTGCTCTTGCTAACCTTTAAGTTACCTCATCATCCTTTATTTGGCTTTAAACATCTTCCAACACTGGGGTGACCCATTTCCTACATTAAATTCCCTCTGTTGAAAACAGCTGAGTTTCTGTCTTCCTGGTTACATTCCAACTGATACAGGAGGTAAATAGCCTCTCCTTTCCACTAGTCAATATTATAAGTCTTTGTCTACCATGCCTATCAAGGAGTTTGTCCTTTTCACAGCCTGTTCATCTCAAGCCCACAGAATCCCTGAGATGTTGACAGGTGGGATTACCACTTTCATTTTACAGAAGAGGGAACAGATCTAGAGATGCTAAGGAGATATATCAAAGTTGCACAGCTAGTGAACTACAGAGCAGAAGCTAGAATCCAGGTGTCTTGTGAGCTGGTGGTAATTTCCCTATGGCACTCAGGCCCTTCTCTTTCTCTCCAACTCTTACCACTAGAAGACATTCTTTAGGGGTCAAAATAAGGATTCATTTGGGTCTCATTTGCCCTTGATGAAAAGGTGCTATAACTATGCAAATTGCACACACAAATGAGTTCAAGGGAGTATTCATTTCTATTTTGGTCTTTATAAGAATATTTTTCATTTACGTCAACCAGGTTTGTCAGCATTCTGTAAATCCTAGAACAGTGTTTCTCAAAGTCAGAATTATATGGGGGAGAGGGGTGTTTCTGATAAAAACTCAGATTCCTGCCCTCCCTCCCACTGAAATAGAAAATCTGGGGAAGAGTACAGGGAAAGTGTATTTTCTTCTAGCATTCCAGGTGACACTGATGAAAAACATTTTGAGGACCACTCTTCCACGAGATAGAAAAAAGTTGTCATTGTCCACAGAAGAGAAGGAGAGATCAGCAAGGTGATGACAGGGCTGGTTTGTGGCCAGTCTAAGACCCAGCCGCTCAGGCTTCCATCCCAGGTAAGAGGTACCACTTATGACCCCCTACTGTGTGTCCAGCCTAGTCTCAGACACTGCCTGGGTATGGATCCAGCTACTCTTCACAGCAACCCTATGAAGTAGCTGTCATAGCGCCTGTTTTACACATGAGAAATCTGAGACCCAGATTAAACAAGTGCCACCAGGTCACCCAGCTATGACTCAAATTCCAATCAAGCTCTGTCCATGTCACCCTTCTCAGAATGGAGCCCACTTCATCTCCAAATGATCATGGGGACAAGTATACACTAAACTGGCTCTGTATGGGGCATCCTAATTCTATTCCCCATGGGGTCTGGGTTTCTTACTGCTCGTTCCTGAATGAGGCACCAGTTCAGCTGCAAAGAGTGTGGGTTAATGGCATCCAACGCCCCCTCCTAAACCACCAGGTGATAGGAAGGGATCCTGGCAGGTGAGATGCCCAGTGGTCTCTTGATTGTCCTTCTCAAGTTTTTCCAGGGGCTTTCGGAGGCTCTTCTACCCTTGCACTTGGCTCAGAAGCTTAAGGTTTTGCCCCAGACCAGTAGGAACCAATCAGAAAGCCTGAAGCAGCAGATGCCTGCATTAATCTATCCACAGAGGCCCCAGGGAAAGCAGCCCAACTGTTGTTCTTATCACAAATGTTTTAAAACGTAATAACATGAATGGGCAAGTGTGCAAGCACAGGGTGCTTGACATGTGGAGGATCCTGCATCATCTGAGCTGCCTTTTCTATTTCTTAATACATTACTTTACATGTCTAGTCACCATTCTGTTGACATAGCTATTCGGATCAGCCAGGCTCATGAAACTGCCAGGTAGAGACTGAGAGAGGTGGGGCAGGGCTGGGGGACTCTCAGATCAGGATGATCACTCAAAGGGTGCAGAGAGGGCTGCTGACCTGTAAGAAAATGTCTGATGCTCCCCCACAGCTTCAGTGTTCTCTCTTTATCCTTTCCAACAGCTGCCGGACCCCAACCTGCCTTGCTTAGTTTTATATGCACCTCTCAGCAGACATTTGCCATATATATGAGGCTGTCCTGGCTAGCTTTAGAAGGTAAAAGCCTGAGTTCAAATCCAAGGTCAAACACTTACTAGCTGTGTCCCCTTGGACATGTTCAGTAACCTCTCTGAGCCTCAGTTCACTCATTAGTAAAATGAAGACAATAATAGCATGTTAAACTTTTAGAAATGCTGAAGGAAAAACATTTTTAAAAATTGTGTATGAAGCAGTTATCACAGCACTTAATTCAACAAATATGTCTTGAGTGCCTTCTATGTGCCAGACACAGTTCAAGGCCCTGGAAACAATTGTGGTGAACACAAAACATAGTCCCTGCCCTCACAGAGCTTATAAACTAGTGGCAGAGACAGACAATAAACAAACAGATATATTTACAATATACCATAGCTTGGCAAGAAGTGCTGTGAAGGAAAGTAAAGCAGGAGGAGCTGGTAGAGAGCGGCAAAGGGTAGAGCCAATGATGTTATTGATGAGGTGGTCAGAGAAGATCTCTCTGCAGAAGTGACATCTGATAAGAGGTGTGAATGAGAAGAGGGGATAAGACAGATGGATACTTGGGGCAAGAGCATTCCAGACAGAATGAAGAGCAAGTGCAAAGACCCTGAGACTGGAGCACGTTTCCTTATTTAGGGAAAAGCACGGAAGCGAGTGTGGCTTGCGAACCATGGGGAAGTTTAGGGAAGAAGCCAAAAGGCAAAAAATAACTGAGACATATGCAGGTAAGCAGGTAGGTAGGTAGATAAGACTAAATTCATTTACTTTTCATAATATCTTCCTATCTTGGATTGAACAATGCTAGGCACTAAGAGAGACAAAAAGATGAACCAGACAGAGAATTTATCTTTGATGAACTTGAACTATTAGTCTACTAAGGGAGAAAATACCTAAATAATGAGAAAAGAAAATAATAGATGTCATAAAAGAAGTATGGTAAAAAATATAGGAGCCTGAAAGAGAGTCTTTGCCTCTCATAGTCACTCTCACCACCAGAAACTTGGAAAGATTAATGAAAGAAATGACAGTTACATGAAGACTGTAAAACACACAGGGAACTCTACTCAACACTCTGTAATGGCCTATATGGGAAAAGAATCTAAAAAAAGAAAAAAAGAGTGGTTATATGTATGTGTATAACTGATTCCCTTTGCTGTACACCTGAAACTAGCACAACATTGTAAATCAACTAGACTCCAATAAAAATTTAATAAATAAAAAATTTCAAAACCTGTAAAACAATGATGCTTGCCATGCTTAAAGAGATAAAAATTGAATTTAAAATATTTCAGCAATCAACTAGAATAAAATCGTTGTAAATTTGAGAGAAGAATCAAATAGAAATTCTAGAATTCTAATATTTAAAAACTCAATAAACAAAGTAAAAAACTCAACAGATGGGTTTAATAACAAATTCAATAGAGGTAGATATAGAGAGAATTAGTGAACTGAAAGGTAGGTCAGAAGAAATTACCCAGAACGAAGCAGAAAGAAACAAAATGCTGGAAAGTACAAAAATGAGAAGAATACAGTGTGCAGACTTAATGTGTTTTTTTCAGGAATAGTAGGAGGAGAAGTTAGAAAAAGGATAACAGAATAATGGCCTAAAAATATGGAAGGAAGGAAAAAAAAAGAGCAGAAGTTAATGAAATGAAAAAATTACAATAAACCATATTAAAAAGGTCAAAATTTGGCTCTTTGAAATGACTGATAAAATTGATAAACCTTTGCTGTAACAGATCAAGACAAAGATAACAGATCAAGACAAAGAAGGGGAAGGGCACAAATCAGTAACGTCAGTGTTGAAAAAAGAACATCATTACGTATGCAGCAAACATTAGCAAGATAGTAAGAGGATATTATGAACAACTCAGTGTCAATAAATTTGAAAATTTACATGAACTAGACAAATTCCGAGGAAAACACTACTTACCAAAACTAACAAAAGAGGAAATTTAAAAATCTGAATAACTCTGGAACTATTAAAATTATTGATTTTTTGATTAAAAATAAACTTCTCATGACGAAATGTTTCTGAAGGCTTCAAGCAAACTTGATGAACTATTTAAAGAAGACATAAATGCCAAGCTTATACAAACACTTCCAGAAAATAAAAAAAAAGTGAGAACACTCTCCATTTTATTTTACAAGGCTAAAGTAATCTTGATACCAAAATTCAGCAAGAACAGTATAAGAAAAAAATTACAGGCCAATTTTACTCATGAACATGTGAAAATATCCTAAATAAAATATTAACAAGCCAAAGCCAGCAATGTATAAAAAGGAAACACATCCTATCCACCTTTGGCTTACTCCAGGGTGAAAGAGTAACTGTTGCTAACCAATGTAATTTGCCACCTTAACAGATGAAAGGAGGATGGAAACAACCCAAGTGCCCATCAACAGAGGATGTGGTATATATATACAATGAAATACTACTCAGCCATTAAAAAGAATGACATATTGCCATTTGCAGCAATGTGGATGGACCTAGAGAATATCATTCTTAGTGAAGTAAGTCAGACAGAGAAAGACAAATACTATATGGTGTCACTTATATGTGGAATCTAAAAAATAATGCAAATGACTCTATATACAAAACAGAAACAGACTCACAGACATAGAAGACAAATTTATGGTTACCGAAGGGGAGAGGGAGTGAAGGAGAGACAAATTAGAAGTATGGGATTAACAGATACAAACTACTATACATAAAATAGATAAGCAACAAGGATTTACTGTATAGCACAGGGAATTATATTCAATATCTTGGAATAACCTATAATGGAATATAATCTGAAATATATATATATATAACTGAATCATTTTGCTGTACACCTGAAATTAAAAAAATATTATAAATCATCTATACTTCAATTAAAAGAAAAAGGGGGGAATCATACAGTCATCTCAATGTATGCAGAAAAAAGCATTCACTAAAATTCAACATCCATTCTTTATTAAAAATCATAGAAACTAGAAAAAGGGTGGCACTGAAATAATCTAGTAAAGAGTATCTACTATGAAACCTATATCAACTAATATATTTTAAAATGAAACTTGGATAGCATCAAAAAATAATAAAACTTGGAAAATATTCTTTTTGAGGTTGTGAAGGAACAAGGATGCCTACTGTCACGACATGTCCTAGAGGTCCCACAGAGCAAAGCAAGGCAAAGAAATAAAAGACATAAGGAAGAAATAAAATTGTTATTATTTGTGGATTACATTATCACCTACATAGAAAATCCATGGGAATCTGCACATCCTTTTTAGACTTTAAGGAAGTTCCACAAGGTCCTGGATATAAAGTCAACACAGAAAAATGAATTAAATTTCTATTCATCAACCCCAATTTTTTATAAGTTGAAACAAAAATTTAAAGATAACATTTACATTAGCATTAAAAAATAGGAAAACACCTAAAAATCTAACAGAACGTATGCAAGACCTCTGTGCAAAACATCATTATTGAGAGAAGTTAAAGAAGACCTGGGTTGATGGAGAGAAATTTTATGTTACTGAATTGGAACACTCAAAATTTTAAATGTCGATTCTCCCTTGAGAATTGCGCTATGGAATTAAATTGAGCTACGGATTCAACAAAAAGTCTCAACAGGATTTTTAAAGAACTTAACAAACACTCTCTAAAATTTATATGGAATTGCCAAGGTCCAAGACTAGCCAAGGCCTTCTTAAGGAGGAAACCCAGGGTTGAAGGATTTGCTCTACCGGGTATTGAGTCTTACTACCACAGCAGAGTAATTAAGACTGTCATTTTCATTCAAGGCTATGGATGGAGGAAGATGTCACTAGTGTCTTCCAGTATCTGGGTGTCCTCCTCTTCCAGCAACATGGCAGACAGCACTTCAGGACCCCTTACAGGTGAGTATAGCTCTCTGACTGGTTCTGGCAAATGAGCTGCAAGAGGAAGTGAATGATGGATGACGTTTTCATGCTGAGTCAGTGAAAAACTCAGCATGAAAACTCAGTGTATCTTCTCTGGATGGAGAGTGCTCCCAGTGATGCAGTCATTTCACTTCACTTCATGCAGGACGGTTGCCCTGATGCATCTCCTGCAACACCAGTGACCTGCTAGTGAAGAAGATATAGCTTCAGTATGTTAAGCCATGAGATGTTGGGGTTGTTTGTTAGCAAAAGAAAGCATAGCTCATCTTATCTTGTCCAACATACAGACAGACTAATGGAACACAAGAGCACCCAGAAAGATAGCCACCCACTACGCAATCTATTGTGTAGACAATTGATTTTTCAACACAAAGTGAAATTGCAGAGTAGTAGAGAAAGAATGGTATTGGGACAACTGGATATCCATTTGGAGGAAAAAATAGAACTTGTCCCTACCTCACACCATACACAGAAATCAATTCCAGGTGGATTTCCAACCTTATTTGAAAGGCTACACTGCATAAACATTTTAGAAGAAAACACGGGTGGATTCTTCATAACTCAGGAAAAGATTTTCTGAATAAGAAACAACCAACTATGAATGAAAAGATAGTTAAATTGTGTTCTATTCAATTTCGCAAGAAAAGAAGTTTTGTTAAAAGAGAAAATAGCAAAAGGGAATGCCTAAATGTTAATAATAGCTATCTCCAGGTGATTACATTATGGGGTGAATTTATTTTCCTATTTTGCTTACCTCTTTTTTCCAAATAGTCTATGATGAATATGGATCTCTTGTGTAATGAAAGAGAAAAAAAAACAATAAAAATTTGTTAGTTTTCGTTTGTGTGTTTACAATCAAGAAGAGGCAATCCAAAAGTTGAGGATATAGAATAAGAATTTTCCAGGCCTTACTCTCATTTGTTTGTCAAGCCAAAGGAAAGAAATCCTAATGGCAGCATATCGGGCAATGTGGCAGGTGGGTGAAAGAGGGTCACTGTGGCTTTTCTTACGACTCCATTTAGCTACTAGCACATTATCAAGGCAGCCTGATATCACTTTTTTTTGTACTTTAAATTTATTTTCTTTATTTTTACTTTATATTGGAGTATAGTTGATTTACAACGTTGTGTTAGTTTCAGGTATACAACAAAGTGATTCAGTTATACATATATATGTATCTATTCTTTTTCAGGTTCTTTTCCCATTTATGGTTACCAAAGGGGAAATGTGAAGGGGAGGGATAAATTAGGAGTTAGGGATTAACATATACACACTACTATATGTAAAATAGATAATCAAGAAGGACCTACTTTAGAGCACAGGGAATTCTGCTCAATATTCTGTTATCACTTTTTAAAAGCCTTTCTGATGTAGATTCACAATCCTTATTCCTGGAGGGAGGTGCCCTTGGGAGACCTCCTTCCTTCTCCCTCTTCCATTTCTGTCTCCCTTCTCTGATAGGAAATATGTTTTGACCCAAGTGTCTTTCACAGACTTTATCAGCCCTGGAGATGCAAGGCCTCTGGCCCCACCCCAGGTGACTGTCCATCTGGCCTCCCAGTGATGGACACTGGAGCCTCCCTCTTCTTTTGGTCATGCCACTCCAGGCTCTTTGTAAAATCTTTATTAGACACACGTTTGACTCTGACCAGCCTGAATATAAAGACCTTTTAAGATCTAAAATGCATGTACAGATACTTATTTTCACTCTTGGTTTTTATAGTTTTACTGGCTCTCATTTATTCATTGGACATTTACTGGACACGGGCAGTAAATTCATCATAGACCACAGCTCCTGAAGCCCTGGGAATTCACCTCCTATATTCTGGAGCCTCGCAAAACATAGAATGGGGACGTGGAGGATGAGGGTCATTCCAGAGACAAAGAGCCATCAACAGGCGGAAATGGCAGGGCCCTCGGGATAACTGGGCATTAAATGGATTCAGAGGTTCTTAAGTGCCTCACAATGGTCATGAAGAAGGTTCTGGAATAAGGGTGGGCAGCTCGTTGGAAGGGCATTAATAGCAACCACCTCCATCAGCATTATTGGTATTTACTGAACACATACTATGTTGCAGAAATTATGCCACGTGGGAATTCCCTGGTGGTGCAGTGTTTAAGAATCCACCTGCCAATGCAGGGGATACAGGTTTGAGCCCTGGTCCAGGAAGATCCCACATGTCACGAAGCACCTAAGCCCGTGTGCCACAACTACTGAGCCTGCACTCTAGAGCTTGCGAGCCACAACTACTGAAGCCCGCACTCCTAGAGCCTGTGCTCTGCAACAAGAGAAGCCACTGCAATGAGAAACCTGCTCACTGCAATGAAGAGTAGCCCCCACTCGCCGCAACTACAGAAAACCCGCTCCCAGCAACGAAGACCCAACACAGCCAATAAATAAATAAATGTATTAAAAATAAAAACTTAGTACTGTGAATTACTTAAAAAAAAGAAAAGAAATTACGCCACGCACTTTATATAATCATCTCATTTAATACTCACAGCAACCCTGGGATGTATATTATATTATCTTCTTTTTGAAGATGAGGAAATTGAGACTCAGTACAGGTTAGGTAATTTGCCAGAGGTCCCATGGTTCCAAGGTGGTGGTGTTGAGCCAGGAATCCACATCTGTACAATGGGAAATCCTTGCCTCTTTTTCTGACAGTAACTCCTGTTTGGGGCATTGATTGTTATTCATCTATTTCAATTTCACACCATTTTGAGGGAAAACAGGAACCTTGATTTCTGAAGGCCTTTTGTATCTGACATCAGTTTCTTTAGGACAGCTTCCTGTATTTGAGACATTGTCCCCTGGGAGGTGGGGACGGAGCAGTCCCAGTGGCAACAGGCTGTCAGGAGACCCAAATGAGATCATGCATGCAAAACACTTGGGACAGAGCAGTACAGAGGAGGCCTCTGTATACTGGCTTTCCCCATTATGTTGTTCCCTCAGGCCCCAGGACTGCCAGTTACCCTTGCCTTTGTAAACGTGGAAAAAACTTCCAAACACACAGATTCTAATTATTTCTTGGATTCTGGTGCCAACCACTTTCTTCAGGAGCATTTCTCATCACCCCATGTGTCCACATTCTGAGTGTCCTGTAGGTGTGACACTTTGCCACCAAGTCCCTAAGCCCTGAGCTGGCTTGCTGTCGCTGAGCCTTCATTCACAACGAGAAAAGGGTGAGATAGTGATCGGTGCTCCTGTAAGAAACTCCAATAGTTTCTATATCAGATCCTATAAAAGACAATGTCAGGAAGCAAAACATGGAGGCTTAGAGATCAAATCCAGAGGCAGGCAAATCAGAGTGGGAACGTTGATCTGCTCCTTCCAGCTGTGTGAACTTGGGCAGTTATTCAACCTCTCTGAGCCTCTATAACAACTAGATAGTAATAACTACCTCACAGCTTTGTTAGGGGGATTACTATATGATATAATGATGTCAAGTGCTTAATACAGAGCCTGGTCCATAGGAAACAATGAACAAATAAATATTCGTCATTTTATTATTATTAAATGCAAAAAAAAAAAGCCAACAAACTCTACTATGAGATTTGTTTTTCAGGTTCATAAATAATTACCTTAAATGACTTTTCTCCCCTCCTGGATCAGTCTGCTGTTTGATGTCTTTGAACAAGTCGATCTGTTGTTCAGTGCCGTGTGCCTGGCGTGCAGAGATGCAGGGGCTTGACAGGCCAGAGGCCAACAGGCTTAACGAGCAGTGCTAGCTGAGCACACAAGAAGAGACATTTGAAAAGTCTACTTGAAATGTTTAAGTAAAAAGAAATTTGGGGGCTTCCCTGGTGGTGCAGTGGTTAAGAATCCACCTGCCAATGCAGGGGACATGGGTTCTAGCCCCTGGGCCGGGAAGATCCCACACTCCTCGGAGTAACTAAGCCCCTGGGCCACAGCTACTGAGCCTGTGCTCTAGAGCTCACAAGCTACAACGACTGAGCCCGAGCGCCACAACTACTGAAGCCTGCGCACCTAGAGTCCGGCTCTGCAACAAGGGAAGCCACCGCAATGAGAAGCCTGCGCACCGCGATGAAGAGTAGCCCCCGCTCACTGCAACTAGAGAAAGCCTGAGTGCAGCAATGAAGACCCAACACAGTCAAAAATAAATAAATTTTAAAAAAGAAATTTGGCAAGCAAACAGAATCAGGAGAACTGACTCGCTTGCTCAGGGCCTCAGTTTCCCTATCCGTATGAGAAGGGGGCTGGGCTGCGTGCTGCTGTCTTGCATTTCTGACCTTCATAAGTAGAGCAGCCTGATTCAATGAGGACCATCCTGGCCACTCGTGTGTGCATCAACTTCTAGTCCTGCATGGCCTAGGAAAACTTGGCATCTGAAGCCCTTCTCTGGATGAAGGGCTCACACAAGCCCACAGTTAGGGCATATCTCCATTGCCCCCTAAGCCTCCCTAGGACCCACCAATTCCAACATCTCCCAGTTCCCACCGTATGCAACCACAAAAGACAAAATTCCAACCGGAGTTCCCGGAAGTAGAGAGGAGAAATCTCTAAACAAGGGGTTTGTTGGTCTCCAGCATAAACTGCCCAAGGTGTTCAGAAGAAATTTCCTTCTTTCCTCGACAGCTTTGGAGAATCATTCTTTTGCATGTTCAGGGGAGAAAAAGCTAGCAACGTACGAAACTTGGCTCCCCCGGCCCACCCCAGTGAAAACTTGCTTTGGGGCTAAGGAAACATCGCCACCTGGTGGAATGATATTAAAATAACCAGACAGAGAGGGATGGGTTTCTAGTCTCCAAATAGGTGGAGTCCCAGGAAGAGTTACAAGGGTCCTTAGAGGTTGGACCCAATTTCTTTACTTTACTGAGTAATAGAAATGTTGAACAGAGATGGTTTGTGAATGTTGAGGCCAGAACTCAGATCTACCGACGCTTTATGTGAATAATTATCTTTACCACCCCCTGCAACAGATAACTTACCCCATACTTTAGCCCCAAATGACTTAATAACTGAGGTTAGCACAGTCAGGATTATTTTCATCCTGCATGTTTCCTCTTGCTTCTTATAGACTTTATGGAGGCAGAAGAGGAAGACCAGAGGAGTTACAACTGGCAACTGGCATAAAGAGAAGACAGCTCAGATATCAGGGGGAACGTGCATAGATTGATTTGGGACCTGAGAATTCTGTTGTGTGCTTTATGTTTCTAACTGAGAAGTTAGTAATTGTAATGGAGCGTCATTAATCTGCTCATTCTTTTAACTGGGCCAGCAACAGATATAAGCTATAATAATGCAGGATGTTTTCACGTCTGTTTGGAATATTTGGGTCCTAAAGACAGTACGTTCAGTGAGTTGAGTATAGAAAACCTCATTATTTATACAAAGTGTGAAAATCCATCATTGTGTGAGTTGAACCATCTTATTATAGGCAGAGTTATTTCCATCTCTAATATTTGCCCATCACCTTGCAGTTCACTACATGCTTCAATTGATTTAAAATGATTTAATTTTTACAAGCACCCTATGGTGGGCATAAATGGTCATTACTGAGGGGAAAATAGAGGCTCAGAGAAGTTAAGTGATTTTCCTGTAGTCACACAGCTACCAGTAGCAGCACTGGGACTTGGAAGAAGAGAGGAAATTTAATATTCAACCTACAGTGGGGCAGGGGAGGTACACATGCTTCCAACACTGCTGTCCATGGCTCCTCCGCTTAGCAAGTAGAAAGACAGCATTCCTCCAGCCTGACCGCAAGAGAAGCACCCAGTCGTCCCATGGCTACCACATCCTATTGTCATTTGCTTGGCTGTGGAACACACTGGAGAGCCATATGACATACGTTTTCATTTAAAACTGACTTTGAGGAATTTTGCCAAATATCACAATCTCTCCTCTGTAAACGAGTAACATAGCATAACCCCTTACTATCCCAGAGGCTGCCAACTGGGGTCCACAGGACTGTCAGGAGGGCTTTTCACCCATTTACCACCTAAACCATTTCAAGTAACCCTATTGTAAATGCCCTGGCAAAGAGGGTTCTTTGTGCCCTATAAATACAGCATCGCCTCTGCATGGTCCTCTCCCCTAAACATCAGGACCCAAAGCTCAGTCCTCAGACCACTTCTCTTCAGTGTCTAATCTCCCTGTATAAGTGGGATAATCTCGTCTCATGCCTTTAAATGCCACCTATATACTGCTAATCCCTAAATTTGTCCCCACAACCCCAGCCTCTCCCTCTGTGTTCCAGACTCATATATGCAGCTGTCTGCTCAATACTTTAATGTCTAAGACATCAAACCCAGCATGTCCACATCCAAACTTTTGGTTTCCCCCAACCCAACACTCTCCTTTCACAACCTTTCCCATCTCGGTAAACGGAAATCTCATGTATCCAATTTCTCAGGCCAAAACTTTTCAAGTCTTCCCTGGATTCCTCTCAGAACCCATGGCCCATCTGCCTTCACAGCACATCTAGAATCTGCTACTTCTCACCACCTCCATTGCTACCCAACCAACCACCTTCACCTGGATTATTGCAATAACCTCTCACCTGGTCTTCCTACACACAACCAGAGTTATCCTTTTAAGATGTAAATCAGAACTAACACCCCCTTGCTCCAAACCTTCCAAGGGATTTCCACCTTGCCCCGTGGTTGCTACATAATCTAGTTCCACTACCTCTCTAACCTGACCCTCTATCACCGTTCCCTTTCTGCCACCATCTGCTAGAAATGTAGGGATGTAAGAACAGGGGCTTCATTTTAGCCCATGATGTATGTAGCCCATTGCCGAGACAAGGTCTGGATCATAAAAGATACTCAATAAGTATCTGTTGAAACACAAATGCCTTTGCCCTCTGTCTGGTCCATTCATTAATGCCATCGGTCCAGAGCCCGACCTAATTCCTTCCTACTGCATTTTCACCCTATCTCATCTTACCCTGTGCTCCGTGGCAAGGAGTCCTGGGATGCCCAGAGGCCTTGCATTAGTTCCTCCCACTCCAGTTCAAGGGCTGTTATGAGAGCACCCTTCCCTTCTCTTCAAGGTACGGTTTCTCAATGACTATCTTCCCATTGGCAGTTGGCAACATCACAACACTTCAAGGTGCCAGATGGTAGAGCTGACTGGGGACCGAGAACACACTGCTTCTGATGATACACCAGGAGTGCTCAAGTATCAGCCAAGACCATAAAGGCAGGAGCTGAAGGTGCTGGATAAGTATGGTTTCTTGATCCCTTTCCCCTGAAGTCTCTATAACACCTTCCTCACCTCAGCCACAACTGTGAGGTTTAAATCAAGAGGAAAGTGGGAGGGAGGGTAAGAACTAAAGCCAAGAGAGAAAAGGAAAAGTTTATCTTGAGAAATGAGCAGCATCACGGTGCACACATGGACTGGGGTTACATCCTTGGAGAAGACAGTCACCTCTTTGCTGAGAATGAGGGGCATTGACACCCCAGAATTCCAAAGACACCCCTCACACCTGAAATATGACCAGACATTCAAACTCTACAACCTTTGGGTCTATAAGAATCCTTTTTTAAAATGCAAACACCCCCAGGCTTATTCAAACAATAAACCATTAATCATTTATACCTTATTGTAAATTGTTGTCAGCTGTTTGATATCAACTCTACTATGGAAATAAGAGTATTAATGGGAAAGGGATTGGGGCTGTGCAAGAACAAAACAGGTCTGGCAAAACAGTGAGGTG